GGGGGGGGGGGGGGCGGGGCTCGGCGCATGCGCGGAGGGGCGCCGCGGCGGGAAGAGGTTTGCGCCGGTATCGGGGACCCCTCGGGCCCGCGGCCCCCCTCAGCCCCGGGGTTCCACTCAGGCCCCCATCTCCCCTCAGGCCCCAGGGGGTCCCCTCAGCCCTAGGGTTCTTCTCAAGCCCCCATCTCCCCTCAGGCCCCGGGGTTCCCCTCAGGCCCCACATTTGCCCCAGGCCCCAGGATTCCCCTCAGGCCCCCGATCTCCCCTCAGGCCCCTGGGGTCTCCTCAGGCCCCCATCTCCCCTCAGGCTCCTATTTTCCTCGGTCCCGGGAGTCCCCTCAGGCCCCCGATCTCCCCTCCGACCCCTGGGGTCCCCTGAGAGAGTCATAGCCTTTGAGGCTAGACTTGAGGAAATACATGCAACATTAACATAACTTAAGAGCAGGTGACACTAATCCTTTAGAGTCCAGACGTCCCCATTACTGTCTTGTTCTCTGTTTTCTCAGTTGTGACCTATTTCTGCAGCCTAATACCCAGTTCTTCTAAATTCAATCCTTAACACAGGGCTGAAAGTTTTAAAGTATTTCAAAGCCAACACACAGATTTCAGGACTGGTTTATTTAGCGAGTTCACTTCAGAAAAAAAAAAATGTTTGCAAAGCGCTGTTTTTAAGAGCTGACATTAAATGAACACCCATGGCTATGAAAACCAGTATTTCCAGTAAAGCAGTAATTGGCTCTGAAATTTCATAGGCCACCACATTACAAGGAAGAAACATCTTGATTACTGGTTACGAGTGAAGTGGTTTAAAACAAATTACTACAACACCTACAAATAAGTAAACTTTATATAACATTTCCCTCTGAATTTCTTAAAGCCAAAAAAGAGAAGCAAAGCCAGACAGTTTCCATCTCCCAATCCCCTCTGTTTATGGGAGCTTCATGTAACAATTTGGGTTCATGGAAGCATTAACAAAAGGTAAGGAAAACGGGTAGAAGGATGCAAGAGCTTGAAGCTCTTTTTAACACTTCTAGAATTATTCCTTAAGCAGACATTGTCCCTTTACAGTACATAGGGTGATTTGTAATGTAAAAAAAAAATCCAACAACAAGAAGCCTTAAGTATTTTTAAGTACGCTTTGACCTCCATCATCCTTTGAAGCGCTGAGGCTATGTCCATGGGGAAGTAGGAAATGAAAACACGTTGTAAAAAGAGGTTTTTTTAAAGACTTTTGAACAAAGCCACAAAACAGTGGTACTTACGTAGGGAGAGTAAAGCTCTCCTGTGTCAGTAATGCCACCAGCCATGTTGAAGACAGGGGGAAGGCTCAGAGCAAAGCGAGGAGGGTGTTTTCAACTTCTATTGCCTTTAACCTAGGGAAGCATCATAAAGTTTGTGTTAGCTTTGTCGGAAGGAGGAGGAGGAACTCAGGAGTCAGCTTTTGGACATCGGTCTTCTAATATTTGAACAAAAGAGGATTTCAGCAGGATCTTCCACTTCGGACAGATATACCCCACTCAGCAGCAACACCTGGTTCAATACTCTACTGAAAAGTTTTCATACTTGTTAAACTAGTTTAAAAGTAACCAAAAGGCTCTGCCCTTCCACAGCACGCGATGACCAAACTTCACCTTCCTCAAACAGCCAGAGGGGCTGTTTCAGACGCTAAAAGCTCAAGAGGAAGAATGCCTGCCTTAGGGATGATCTCATCCTGCTGCCTCTCACACAGCTACTACTCTTAGACAGCATGTGCCTCCTGCAAATCAAAGCTGTAAAAAACCAGCCTAAAACCAGCCTACAATCTCTCATCATAATCTCGAGTAAAGCAATCAGCAGATAAATGAAAATACTGGACCTATGAAAAAAAACCCAAGAAATTTTGTTACATGTACCAAAGTTTCCAAAGCAGAATTATTTAGGGAACTTCACATCGTCTTAGAAAAACTACAGGGGAGAGGAAGAACTCAAGCATTTTGAAAGTTTTCAGAGTACATAAGTAATTAGGCATCGCTGAATTGTTTCAGAGCTCTACCAAATCCCATATACTTCTACCTCTGCTCCCACTCAGCCACGCCAACTGGGACAACTCCTCAGCACAAACTTCGCAGGCTCAGAGCACTCCTCACAAACCCAGACGGTTCATCAGCTCCCACCCAGTCACACCAGATGACAGAAGTGACTCTGGCAGCAGAGCTCACCCCGGCCACAACCAGCCCAGCCTTTGGAAGAAGGGGCCAAACATCCCTTTTTAGAACAGACCCCCACTCACACCCCTGGGGCCAACCTCAAGAAGACACGGCACGACCAGGGGGCACACGGACACCGTGCTTCTGTGGGGCACCCACCCCGGCCTGGTAGGGGCTCTACCCTGGGGGCCTGCAGCCCACCCAGACCCCCGGGGCCCACAGCCCACGGGGGCCCGCAGCCCACCCAGACCCCCCTCCAACTCCCCCCGGGGCCTGCTCCCTGTCTGGCTGCGCTACTCCCCCAACCCTCCCATCCCAAGGGAAACCTCCCGCCCCATCGATGCCCCACAGCGGCCT